CAGAATGGCTTGGGTTGGACAAAACACTGCAACTCACAGTATATCTGGACAGTTGTGTTTTCTCAGGTTTTCAGGGGAGTAGGAAAATATAAAGTAGAATATGTCAGAAGGGTTCGTTATCTGCTTGCAAGCTCTATTAAGAGGACAGTCGTACTGAATTCACTGTATTTCATGCTTTTTCATGATTTAGGTGGCTGCAAGGCAGCCAGAGATTTGAGAAAGCCTTTCTTGTTTGTTTTAGAAATGAAAGCAAACAATGAAACTCTGCAATGGAAAGTATCCTGCATGTCTGGCAGCAGTGGTTTCGTGCATACCTGAAGAGAAAAGCCTGTTAACACTGTTTCTGCTGTGAGCGGGGAAGTCAGAGGGACTTGTTGCTGACTGGAAGTCAGGACTTGGTAAGATACTTACCATAGTGATACTTGGGGTAGTCAGGCAGTAGAAGAGAGGAAGATGCTCAAGCGTAGTACAAGTATGGCTGAACAATAATTATGCAAGCAGCTGATTCAGGCTTTTTGAAGGAAGTTAGTTATCCTCTAAGTCTGGTGACTTGAATTGCCACAAATATGAGACAGCTTAAAAAAATGTATCCTTGAAACTCTTGTCTTTTTTTCTCTACTCATCTTACTGCTAGCCTGTACTCACTTGCTCTCCTATACATTTTCATCTTGTTTCACTTAGAAAGATGAACATTGTTCCCTTTTGCCTTGCTTCAAGGGGCTGAAGAGAGGAAAAGGGAAGTCACAGGCTTAAGGTGGACAGTCATCTCTGTCATGTCTAAGGATACTTACACGGTGGTTAGCATTCATTGGTCCAGAGTGCAGAGCCACCTCTTTATGCCTGTTGTAAAAAGAACAGATACTGAAATTTTTTACTGTCAAAAATAGATAAAAACTGGTTTTGGTGGTATCTACTATTTTAAAAAATGCTGTTACTGTGCAGCAGGAGAGATTGTCACACAGAGCAAACAGATCCAAGAGTTCTTGCAGATTCAAGGTGGAATTTTTAGTTACTGCTGCATTGTGGCACTTAAATTCCTGCTTGATGCTCAGCTGCATGTCGTCATTCTTCTTGAAGAATGCTATCCTTAAACATGAACTGGTGTGGGACTCTAAACATGTGGGTGCTACCATTTTTGTTGGACTCTTGATTACAGCCTGTATGTAACCTGAAGAAATGGAAACTCAGTATTAGTATCCAAAACTTTTAAGAATAAGAAACATGCATACCAAAAGAAGAAAAGGTGAAGGAAAATATCTCTGTGTTAAGAAGACAGAACGTGTTTATGTTGAAAACCCCACAGACAAAATGGAACGTGGAAGGGGAAAATAAATATTTTCTTTGACTTATTTTTTCATGTATGGTAAGAGTCCCTAGGTTTTGTGAATACTTTTAAAGCTGTTTTCTGCACAGCTATGTAGTAATCCCTCTTCTTTCCCATTGCAATATATAGAAAACCCTTTCAGAGTAAGCACAGTAAATGGAAGAGGGGTGTGATAGTTTAACTTAGCTGGCAGCCAAACAAGACACAGCTACTCACTTGCTATCTGGAAAAACAATTGGGGGTTTTTTTAAATTAAAAAATTGACTTGCTCTTTTTAATTCTCCTTTCTTTCTATTGAATCACTCTTTCTAGTCCTGAGTTATGGCTATGGGCTATCATCTTTCCAGTTTTCTAATAATAATTTTAAAATGTTGTAGTCAGATCTTACATTGTTAAAATGTTCTTTCAGTAAGTTCAGCAACACTTGTACTTACCTAAGTGTATTAATTAATATACAGTACTTTAAGTTAAACAAAGGTAATGTGCGCTTCCAAATGTAGAGAATACTTCTTACATTAAAGGATTTTTGTTTCTTTCATTATTCCATTCTTTCAGTCATAACATTTCTTAATTCATAAAGGGTCTGACATATAGAGATTGATAGACATGCTAGTATGAGTAGTGAAGAACAAGAGTCAGAGGTTCCTAGCTGAATCAAATTGTATTAATTTCAATCTTGCCTCACCAGATTGTGTTATGCATATGATATACTTGATAATTCAGGTGAACAAGACCAGTGCTGTAAAGTTAACATGGGATTTCATGTAGGAGCAAATAATGGGACACACGCACAATAGTTTGGAAATGTTTAACGTTAAATAGATTTCAGTCGGTAAGATAGAAGGCAAAAATTGAAAGAGAATTGTAAAGAAACCAGCTACGAGAGGGAAGAATTAAGGAGAATAATACATGAAGTCAGATTCAAAAGGAAACAAAATAGTATGAAATGTTGACTGCGGTGGAACATTAAATGAAGTTTTCACTTTTTTAATATTAATGCTAGTAGAAAGATACAGGGAATATTTGCATCTATATGTGTAAAGCTTACCTCTGCTTAGAGCCTCGTCTATATATTGCTCAGAGTAACAAACTTCAGATTCGACCTTTAACGAACAAGAGACATCTTAAGAAAAACTGAAACAAGTGTTTTAGTTTTACTGACAAAATATTTATCGTTTTTTAAAAAGAAATTACTGGGTTTGGGATTGGGGGCCGGATTTAAGTTGGCAAGCTTTCAGAAACGTTCGCAAGTTCAACAGAGACAGTTGTTGTATTTTAGCCTAACTGGGTGCTATTTAATCAATTGGCTTTGCTCCAGAGAGCTGAGAAGTGGCTGTGGGCTTTCACTGGTGTTAGCTCCTGCAGCTCTTGGGGTGGCTTGTTTATAGTAACTTTTTCTACCTTCAGGAAAAATATTTGAGCAGCTAATTTGGGTAGAAGAGGAGCTCTTTGTGTGTATATGGTGGTATTTTGCTGCTGTTCTTTTGGGTTTGGCAGTGTGAGTCAATGTACTAGTTTTGTACTTCTAGAACTAAATACGCCATTTGTGAGTTTATTTGCAGTTAGCAGTACTTTTTACATGGATTCTGATTCTCTGCAAAGACAAGCAATTTTACAACTTTTGGTCTGTTTACAACATTTTGCTTTTTTCCCCTGAAGAGATTTTGCATTTGAACAGATGTACAAACCAAAGCATTGCTGCCTTGTATACTTTGATCTTATTTAATAAGAGGTAGATGAATGTCCATTTTTGAGAGTTTAAAAATACTTTAAAGACAGGCATTGACAGTGTTAGGCTTGTATTCTATGCAAGTTATGCTTGCTTGAATTAAATAGTTCAATCCTAATTTCCTGACAGATTGACAAATACACTAGGTCTTATCGTAGTGAGATCTGAATACTATAAATATTTTTATGCAAAAAATCCATCATAATAAATATATTTTGACTCGATATTAAAACTAGCATTGCTTTCTTCTTTGAAAGTACGTTTGCCAAATAACATTCTATTACCTGTATCTTAAAAAAAAAAAAGAAAAAGAGTAAACATTTTAAATGCATGCAGAATTAACAAGGTAACTGTAGAATATTTATGCTGTAGATAACATCTTCTAATTCAATCTCAATTTTGTTACTATCACCTTAACAAAATTATTGGGAGATACAGGGTTTTATCTTAATTAGGGCCTTGGTTTCAGTTTTGAGTAGTAGAACTTCTAGTAGTGCAGTGAAATTTTTATCTTTGAAGTTGTGCATTTAGCTTAAAGAATTAAAATTTATGCCTGTAGGTCCCTTACTATTAACATCTCTCTCTGTATGCTAGTTTGAGATTACTTTCCAAAAGTAATGGATTGAGAACAGATGTGACATCTAAAGCTCAAGAACACTGTAAACAGCCCATGGAAATAAAGGGAGTGGACATGGACCACATAGAAACACTTTGGGAAGAAACATTGTAGATCCAAAACCAAATTTTGAACTGCAGATGACAAGGTGTGAACACAGTTTGTGTTTTCATCTCTCAAGTAGTGTTGGTAGGGGGACTGAGGACATCACTAAGCAGTTACTCTT